TTGTGATGGTAATCCCTTTCTATCATTAATTCTTTAATACTTGGTGTTAGCCATGGGACTGAAAACCCGCGAACTCTTCGCGTGGCAACAGGCGCGTGTTTGTCAGCAACTGACAAAAAAAGATCTTTGAAAACAATCCAAGCTTCATTAGACGTTGGTTCCATTTCGAGAATATCCCATGGGATCTTATTTAAATCAACACTAAAGACTGCGGGATCGTAGTTTTTGTAATTTCTGCTCTGAATAATTTTCGGCGGAGGGCGCTTGATGTTGTGGAATTTTCTGACTCCGAAGATAGCACAGTGCTCTGAAAAGCCGACTGGAATAACACCACAGGTGTACAGTTCTGGTCTTGATGTTAGAAATAGGTCAATTAAAGTTCTGGTCTCCTCAGTAATTCGAGTGGGCTTTGTGATTATTTGTTTCAGATGAAAAGATTTTGTTGTCTGCTGGAAATGCTTTGTCGCAGAAGTCGGGTTCAAATAATTCTAGTTAAAGTCTCCAATAAGAACAATTTCACTATCATTACTCATGACGTTGTTTAGAATTTCTTCGACCCAGCGAGTAAACGCGGCTGGGTCAGCATCTAGTGTTTTGTAGATTGCTCCACAAAAAATCTTCTTCGTTTTTGGCTGGCACACTTCAAACCAAATTGATTCAAAGTTGTCGTTCCGTGTTTGGATTGTGCTTTCTTCAAGCCGACTGTAATTTAGTTGTTCTACTATGCATACCGCGACGCCACCGCCATTTTCGTCTCTGTCTTTTCGCATAACATCGTAGCCGGGGAGAGCTATTTCCGCGTCGGTGAACGAGTCATCAAGCCAAGTCTCGTTTATTGTCACGATGTGCGGTTTGTGCTCGTCGCAGAATAGCCTAAGTTCGTCCATATAGTTTGGTAGGCTGCAAATGTTGAGATGAAGTAAGCGAAGACCTTTCATCAGAGATGGCGAGGGCTGTGTTGGTCCAGGATTTAGTGAAACGTCGTTAGACAGGAGAATTGGGTTTGCAGCTGGTGACATATTCAATAAGTTCGTTGCATTTATGAGTTAGACACTTCCCGTTGTTTGCGATCGAGCCTTCTTGCTGGCTTGCTTATCGCCGCGTGGTTTCACTGCTTTGATGTTTACTGTGTTCGCAGTCTTTGCCACCATCAGTTTAGATAATCTTTCATCTCTAGGTAGTTTCAGTAGACATTCGGCCAGTTTACAAACTATCAAACTAACTAAGAGATACACTAAAATGGAGCAAACGGCGGAACGCAAACGCAGAACAGCCGCCATATTCTCTTGTACCTCGAGAGACTCGAAGTTCGAACGAACCAACTTTAAACCAGCTTTAAACCTCATCGTGTTTAAATAAAGGATGTGATTGATTGATTGATTGATTAAACAATAAAGTGAATGCTAAGTTTACAAACGCTTGCTCTAAAAGCTTCCTTTTTTGGATAAATGTCATGATACATTTGCTGTTCACTCTGCGTGAATGGTGTAAATATCCATATCCAATTTCATTGTTTGCGAAATACCTTCCTCCGCAGTTCGTTTGAAAATCAGACTTTCTGGAGTTAAAATATAAAATAAGTCCATGTAATCGTTTAAGCAAGAGAAGACATGTTCAGTGTAATAAGTGTCCCTTAAAGGTAGGATCATGATCAATTTTAAACTTCCCGGCGCATTGCGGGATTATTTTAAGTTAAGGATTTAGAAATGAATTTATTAATTTATAAAACATTATTTAGAGGCAAAATCTCAAAAAAAGTTGTTAACAAACTGTCACTTCTGCAAAAATCACCCGCGCCCAGATCTTCTTGAATTAATTCGATTCAAGTGGTTATTCAAAACGACTTGGTACGAAGTAAACGGATAGTTTCAGGTTTTGGAATGAAAACAAATCGAAGGAAGGCTTTGAAAATCAACCAAATAGCACTTTTGAACCATTTTGTATTCTTTTCTGAGGTTAGAGCTTGCCTAAAATAACTATTTATACACTGTGTTGTCTCCGTAAAGAACTCTAAAGTCAACATTGTAGTTTCGACGAACCTTGACCTATTATATCCCCGTGTGCGTGCGTGCATAGACACAAAGCATTACTTTACTCAAAGATTAAGTAACTTACTTTGTCTTCTTATCATGCACAGAGAAACTGTGCAGAGTAAAAATTTCGCCTTTTCTTGGATTATCAATTTTAATCTTGCTCCTATGAATCGTTAGCGGCTCCGCTATTTCATAGGCTGAAGGCAAAAAACATCTGAAATCTTTGACCAAATCTTGATCCATTGATGTATTTGGGTAAATGTCACATCTTGTCGAATTAACATCCGATGAGTTGGCGAGTTTCATTGAGACTGATGCGGCTTAATACATAGCAAGCTAGAAGGGAGTGCTTGGAGGATTTTTCTCTCGTAAACTTTCGGCATCAGAACTAATAACTGAGAGCACTCTGAGAGTTGTTAAAAGGTGCAGTGGTTTTTGCTCGATGTGTGAAGGGAATAATTAGCTGAAAGACAAGTCGTCTACGAAATTTTGTTTTCGTGAACTATTCTGAAACAAATTCACGAAATCTATGCATGTTCCTTTTGAAACTTTATGTTACCGTCTACAGTTTAACCATATGGCTTAAGAGATACAAAAACTTTTGAAATAGTGTACCGAAGGCAAGCAGATACCCAGTTAAACGGGGTGATTGTCCTAGTACATAGATGAAATTCATACTTTAAAAAATGTCAACGGCTGCTTCAAAATAATTCATTAATTTGGGTAGATTTGTGACCTAGTGCTCCTCAGTATTTCGAAATAACTTTTATGTCGCATTCTTTGTTAAGATATAGTGTCAGAGGATTTTCCCACTTTGTGCTTGTTGTCAGTGTTTTACTCAATAACCTGGACGTGATATGAAAAATTTACGAAAATTAGAGGTAGTTGATTTCCGAGATATCTTAGGGATTCTTAGAAAAAGACTCTAAGCAAATTCTTGATTAACAAGTATAGATTCTAGAGATTCTTTAATCTTACAACTTCATGTGAAAAGGGACTTGAAATTTTAAGAATTCTACAAATTTCCACAGACGTTATGAGGATTATAAAAAGTACAGGCTGTATTGCTCAGAACCAAGAACCATCAAGATAAAATTTTTCAGGTTTTCTTTAATAGGGGAGTTTAGAGAAGAGGGGAGTAGGGTAAAAGATAGCATGCAGCCTTAAGCCATAATTACTTTCCGTTTTCAAATCATAATATTAAAGTAGAAATTTTGATGGAACTTTTTCGGAATATGCTAATCAATAAAATATGAATAAGTTGATGGTGTGTTAGGCCAAGTTTCAGTAAAATCCTTACTTTTGCACGTTTAAAAGAAGATGCACTAAAATTTAGTGAGAGATATCTCTTTATTAAAATTTTTTTGCAAATTCAAGCTTTATTTCCAAACGAAGCTGGCCTAGAAAAATTGCAAAAACTTCTGACTGATATTTATCGCCTAAAGATGCCTAAACTTTTATTCTTGTTCACTTCCGTCTTATTTGCCTAAGATACAATATTTGATAATTTATTTTATGTAAAAAAGTCGCTAGAAAATCAAGAAAATTGAGCCTGGACTCTAGAAACGTAAGTTCTTAAAAAAGAGAAAGAGGGCCTTTAAGATGGGCCCTTAGGCGCTATCTTCTTTTTAAGGTAGCCACCTGTTTAGTAAGGCTATCTATTAAACCGAGATCATTTGCTTCAAAATTTTCCTCTTGATCCCCTCCCCCTTTCATATAAATTTTGCGTATATTCTCACTGGTGAATAAATTCTAAAGGTAGTGAGATTTTCAAGCCGAGTTGTGAATAATGGGGCGCCAATATTTCAAAACAACACCCGATTATATCTCGGCGGTGCGCGCCTCCATAATTTGCGTTGGAATATTTTGCCACTTGTACCAATTATCAAATACTTATTGCGACGAAAAATGGAAGCCAATTGAGATTAACGTGAACCAAATACGGCTCATGAGCGAGATAGCTATCGGAACATAAGCTTCTTAACTGGCTGAAAATAAGGATTTGATAGCAATAATCCCCTTGACTTCGACTTCACTAATCAAAATAAAACTCGAATTTATTTCTGCACTTAGAAAGCCCAGCGTCACGCCTGAAGGCCTTCCTTCAGAGCTAATGAGCAAAAAAAAATAAAAAAAATGAATTAAGCAATCAAACACACCCTCTCGTTGAAATGCTTGACACGAAGGCTAGTGAGCAGAAGTTCTAAAGCACTTCTGGTAATAGAAAGTTTCATGCCTCTGATTAATTACCGTTTAAAAAAAAAACAGCCAAAACGAACAAAACGAGAAATACAAGAAAATGTCTTGCTAAATTGGAAATCAATAAATCTTGTTGACGTCCAGATTATGAGGATGACTGAATTTCATGTAAATTAGTAAACTTTAGTTTTGATGATACGAAAAGCGCGGATTAAATTTTTTTATTGAAATCAAATTATTCTTTTGGATGCGTTGCACATTTCAGCTTAGGTTTTTCAGTGTATTTCACCCACAATACAAGTTAACCACAAAATAATGTTGATTATCAGAGATGAAGGAAAAAAAATGTTCCAACATTAAGTCGAATTCAACCCCCAGGCTTTTTTTTTTCTCCTGGATTATCAATATTTCATGGTACAACAAACAATCCATTTAATATTTCTTGGCGCAAATTAAAAAGTAAAATGAATTTAAATGTATTATTTTCTTCGAATTTGTCGACTTTTTCGACCCTTTCGAGCTTTTTTAGTTCATTTATTAAATGGAAACGTTAAAGCTGTATGACGGTTAAATGATACGGCTGAAAAGTTTGTCTTCATATGCTATTAAGGTCAAAAGTTTATATATTTGCAATCTTTTTATCTGCGTCTAAGGCTGATAAATGTTTTAAACGCTGTCATGAAAGGAATTAAAATCTGACGCACTATTAAAAGTAAATCCTTTGTCTCGGTTTGCAAATGACATTTGTGCTAGCTCTGTTCGGCATTTCAGACGTCAACAGATGAGAGCGCCATTCGATTATGTTGAACCAGCATTTCTTGCGGATCGCTAAGGGTCTCGTTTTCCAACGATGACGACAGCGTCTTAGGTGAGAAGTCATTTTCATTTTAGCTTTGTGTCTAGAGGAAATACAATGCTTTAACAATGCTCTGCAGAGGTTTCAAACACACTAGTAAAAGGTGGCAACCGTAAACCGCTAGCATTATCAGCAGCCGTACCATTAGCAGTGCCATTTCGGTTGGTTCAATCAGTAGGCAAAGTTAGTGATGAGTTTGAACAGATAAGAAACTGACTGATGGTATGTTAAACACCGCTGAATTGAACGAGGGTGGTAAAAACTGGAGCCAAAACAGTAACTTTAACTATATTTTATCTTTGCAAGCCCACCCATTTGGCCAAACAAAGATAAACTTATCTTGTCACTTTCGTTTCATGTGCTTTCAAATTAGAAATTAGCAGTGAGAGCTTCTTAATCGGTGCCTCGAGCGAGGTCCTTCGAGAATTTGCTCGAATTAGATTTAAAAGAAGAGTAAAATTCAGATATCTTTTTTTCAAATGACAAGCACTTCTTTTCACATTATTGCAAAAATAGTTTTAGGACAGACAACAATCTCGGTTCACTTCGCCGTCTGGCTGTTCGCCGAGAAGTTATTTAAAATTCCTCTTATATCAGCCAGTCGACAGTGCAGTCGCAAATTGGACCAGGAAAATCATTTTCATGTTAATCATTTTCACGTATCTCCTTCTAACTGTTTATTCGGAAAATTTCCCACTAGTAATCGATGTATTCATTAATGCCAGATATGTACATCCATTGCTCAGCCATAACAATGATAAGAGTGTTCAGATATTCAAAAACTACCAGATTCCACATTTCTCAAATCCTCATCCGCTTCATTTCTGGAGGGAGTCTTAATGCAGTGGGCTGCGAGGTTTGAATAAGCAAACTGAGTGATATAGCTATGTTGTTAGTTTAAGATGAATCGAAACGGACTGATACAATTTTATAAGTAATGAATTCCTTCTCATTCAGTTGATTGTCCTAATGGTACAGCAAGCCAGGAATTTGCCTCAGCGAAAAGTCGAGAAAAATATAATAATTACCCCAAAGTTCGACTGTTTGGAGCTCATCGATCAAAAATCAAGCTTAAACGCACAGGGTTCATCGAAATTGAACAGTTTTATGTTGGAGATCGAGAGAAATAGTTTTCTCTTAAACTCATGGAGAACGTGCTTGAACAAAACTTCCCTTCAAATTGGTTTACTTTTAAAGCATAAACAAGGAAGTTACCGCGGTAACAATAATGGCGCAGATGCTGAACGTGACTTTGTAAACTTTGCACTTAGGTCTCGTTCCAATATATCGTGAACTGCAGGTGAAACTCGAAAAACTAATTAAAGAAATAGCACGGAAAAGCTTCAAAAAGGTATCTATTGACATAATTATTCAAATGCCATGTATTGTCACTGATAAGCCCTGTTAGTCAACGCTTTTACAACAATGGATTTGTATAACGTCCATAGTTGTTCTGTCATTCATAATAAGCTGATCCAACCGGCAGGCTTTAATAAACAAAACAAAGAACCTTTTTGAGATGCAATGAATATATGAAGTTCATATATTTTGAACTGCGGTGTTAGATACGTATGATGTACGATCCTCGCAGTAGATGGCGCTATTTATGCAATAGCGAAAATCATAAATAGCGCTATCTACTGCGAGGATCGTACATCATACGTATCTAATACCGCAGTTCAAAATATATGAACTTCATATATTCATTGCTTCTCATTTAACACTTTCACGGATTTATTAAGAATCAACTTAACGGCCTGCTCTCAGTTGGCTTGTTAGCTCAATTGGTAGAGCGCTGTACTAGTATCGCAGAGGTCAGTGGTTCGAGTCCCGTACAGGCCTGATTTTTTTCAGGTCTGATTTTCGCTATTGCATAAATAGCGCTATCTACTGCGAGGATCGTACATCATACGTAAAGAACATTTTTGTTTTAATTTTGAAGACGACATTAGCATAAGCAAAGATGGACTTTCAATCTTACCTCATTGTAATTGAGAATCGTTAGTGCGTTTTTACTGCAATGACAATTAAGAGCAAATGTGGTTAAAAATCGAACATTTTGAAAATATTGTGGCAACAGCCAAAAAATCGATTCGGCTCATATTCTCAAGTTAGGTAGGCCTTATGGTGAAACAAAGCACTGCATACTTTGTTTGGCTGAATATCCATTTATTTTCGAGAAAATCGATAACAACTGAATTTCGCCAAAATGCCGCTTTTGAAGCTCAAAATTTCAGACGAATCTCGGAGCGTCGCGCCACGAATTGAAACCACTTGGACCGATGAAAAGTACCAAATCTTGAAAAACAACATCAATACATGTGTTGACGGCAATTTGAGCAATTCTTGATCATTTATTTACACAATCTAATTGAATTTATCCGACCCTCTTCTAACAAGATTGAAAATAGGACAAAAGTAACCCGTTATTTAACTATGTGGTAAATACAATAATCGACTGAAAATCTAGCTTTTGGAAGGCGAAGTGTGGTTCTTCTCGATCTCCAAAGGATTTTTTGGGGTAATGATTCTGAGCGATTTAATCAAATTTTAAAGTTGGATAAAATGAGCTGATTTGACGGTGTCTTCAGTTATTCGAAATTGTACACATTCATCCGCAAACTCAATTGTTTCGCATTTTACATCTAGTCTACAGCTTATTTAACATAATATCATTGGATCATGATTGATAAATACATTGGATCATGATTGCAATTAGATAATTGTTTGCTCCTGTTTCGTATATGTAACACACAACCTTAGTTCCTGTAGCCACGTGCTTCACAGTCCAATGTTTTATTTTTGCGTTTTATTTCAGTAGACCCAATTTTGAATTAATTAGCGTTATTCCGCATGCGTGAAACATGTTTCTGAACTAGTTACATTTCGCTTGCATTTGGTTCACGGTTCGGTTGTGAAGTATTTCAACGAAATGGAAATAGAGAAACCCCGTGATACGCTTTGTAAACAATCATTATCAGGAGGTGTTGACTATCCTGCCAAGTTGTTATATCTACTATTGAGGGAGCAATGTAACAATTTTAGGACCGTAATCCTCTTTTGTGATATTTCAATATGGACAGTAAGATGATATTATGTTAAATAAACTGTAGACTGGATGTAAAATGCGAAACAATTGAGTTTGCGTTTGAATGTGTACATTTTCGAATAACTGACGGCACCGTCAAATCAGCTCATTTTATCCAACTTTAAAATTTGATTAAATCGCACAGAATCACTACCCCAAAAAATCCTTTGGAGATCGAAAAGAAACACACTTCGCCTTCCAAAAGCCAGATTTTCAGTCGATTATGTTATTTACCACAGAGTTAAATAACGGGTTACTTTTGACCTATTTTTCATCTTGTAAGATGAAGGTCGGATAAATTCAATTAGATTGTGTAAATAGACAATCAAGAATTGCTCAAATTGCTGTCAACATATGTACTGATACAATGTATATGTGAAGTTCATATATTTTGAACTGCAGTATTAAATATGTATGATGAAGGATCCTCACAGTAGAGAGCGCTATTTATGCAATTGGTAGAGCGCTGCACTAGTATCGCAGAGGTCAGTGGTTCGAATCCCGTACAGGTGTAGTCGGAACAAAACATTTTAGTAGTCTGAACAGAACAGAAGTATTTCAACGAAATGGAAATAGAGAAACCCCGTGATACGCTTTGTAAACAATCATTATCAGGAGGTGTTGACTATCCTGCCAAGTTGTTATATCTCTATTGAGGGAGCAATGCAACAGTTTTAGGACTGCAATCCTCTTTTGTGATATTTCAATATGGACAGTAAGATGATATTATGTTAAATAAGCAGTAGACTAGATGTAAAATGCGAAACAATTGAGTTTGCGTGTGAATGTGTACATTTTCGAATAACTGACGGTACTGTCAAATAAGCTCATTTTATCCAACTTTAAAATTTGATTAAATCGCACAGAATCATTATCTCAAGAATCCTTTGGAGATCAGAAAGAACCACACTTTGCCTTCCAAAAGCCGGATTTTCAGTCGATTATTTTATTTACCACATAGTTGAATAACGGGTTACTTTTGACCTATTTTTAATCTTGTAAGATGAAGGTCGGATAAATTCAACTAGATTATGTAAATAAACAATGAAGAATTGCTCAAATTGCTGTCAACATACGTACTGATGTTGTTTTTCAAGATTTGGTACTTTTTATCGGTCCAAGTGTTGTCAATTCGTGGCGCGACACTCCCAGATTCGTCTGAATTTTTGAGCTTCAAAAGCGACATTTTGGCGAAATTCAGTTGTTATCGATTTTCTCGAAAATAAATGGATATTCAGCCAAACGAAGTATGCAGTGCTTTCTTTCATCATAAGGCCTACCCAACTCGAGAATATGAGCCGAGTCGATTTTTTGGCTGTTGCCCCCAAATGTTTGACCGTTCAAGGGTAACATTCGTTCTTAAATTGTTTTTAAAAAAAAGATTGGAAGGTTTTTTATTCCTAGGAGACTTCATCAACAGTTTGCACAAACTATCCTGTTTACGTATTTTCAAGTCGCTTGGTTGCTTGCTTGTGTTCAATTAATGCTACCGTATGCTTTCTTTGTCTCATTCTGATGTTTTTTTCTCTCACCTGCCTACTGTTTCCGTATGTCTCTACCGTGAAAGGTAATCTTACTCATGGTAGAAGGCAACAGAAACTTTTATTCGGGGTCACTTTCAGTTATTAGCGTTTTAATGATCACGGTAGGAAAGAGCTGTAACTGCTACTTAGCAAGTTCTGGCATTATGTATAAGGTTTTGCGAGATGAAAATGTCTGTAGTTATTATCTGTCTCATTATTGGCATATTGGTATTTGCATCAGTGTGGACTCGCCTTTCCTTCGATGTATTTTTGAAAAAGAAAACGCAAAAAAAGTCTAATCTTCCACGCCGAGTGTGAAATTGCATCCAAGGTAGTAAGTATCATCCGAGGACGAAAATAGAGTAAGAAAGACGAATTGATGGTATTTTATGAGTAATAGGAAAGGTGAGATCTGATGTGAATTATATCACTCACATTCTCAAAACCTATGGTCATATTGCATGACCATCACTAAATGGTCATTTTTTATCAAATTTATTTCTTTTCCACGGTTTTTGCGAAGAATGAAATACTGAAAATGTTGAAAACTTGGCGAGTAAATATGCTTGAAAGGAAATCAAATTAGGATCATAATGATATCACGGCACAGAAAAACTAACTGATACATACTCGTAAGAGAAACTATTTACATGAGGAGAATAGTTCGTATCCCCAATCGAATATGCAATTTTCTCAAAATCAATGAAAAATATAAAAACCTGTTTTAAGAGCACCCAATGCAAAGATCACTTGCACGTAAACTCAGCTCCTAGAAAAGCTATTTCAAATTCTCGCATGAATATAAAACAATTCCTCCCTATACATATGTTTCCCTCTCAAAAATGTCTGATTTAACCATTAGTAAGTTAGTAAGCTTAAAAACATTCGTGAAAAGTATGGCCGCCAAGATTATGAGCCTGGTTACCATTACGACATTGTTATATTAACGAGGCAAGCTATAATTGTACGTTCACTTCAAGGCGGTGAAGATATCACCTTTTCGAAAAAGGATAAAATTCTATTAGAATTAGCATCATTTTCATGATTTCAAGATCTCCGCAACGTTTTTGATATCAGCATAATACTTTATGGTTATTATATCTTCCATAATACTTTATCAGATACAATGAAATATATGAAGTTCATATACTTTATGGTTATTATATCTTCAAAATATGAAGGGTTGGAATTTACGCAATTCTTAACCTTATCCTTTCTTGTACGCAGGTTGAATCTTCACAATTTAATTTTTCAACCTCTTCTCCTCCTCCAAATTGAAAGGAACACAGCACAATCAGATCCGATATTTTGGTTACCAGCAGATTATTTTTAGTTGAAATCTCTAGCAAGTTTAATGGGATTTCCATGGCAAATATCAGTACCAATTCAACGAATAATGCAGTTTCGAATAGTACTTCATGGTTGGACATCCTGCAGTTCACTTTGTTCGCCATAATATTTGCAGTTAGTACCATAGGAAATATTTTGGTCTGTTTGGTGGTGTTGGGAACAAAACGCATGCGCACAACACGAAATTTCCTCCTTGTCAATCTAGCGGTATCAGATCTGACGGTGGCCCTGTTGTGTATACCGTTCGACATGGTGCTCAAGATTACAGAACCTGATTGGCCGCTTGGTTCCGCAATGTGCAAGATATTGTGGCCTTCTATGACACTTGTAACCAATTCCTCTGCCGTTACGCTTGCAGTGATCAGTTTTGACCGGTAAGAGTCTGGCATAAATGCAAATAGTTATTACTTTTCCATCCTCAGGAAGTTTTTAGATTAATAATCTGCAATTTTCCTTAGCGGACACAAATGTCTGGTTACAAAAAGAGAAAAATGTTACTTAAAACATCGGGAGGCTTTTTCTGAGCCATTCGCATTGATTTTTTTTCAAGTTTCATAGAATCTGTAGCAGAGTTCGGTTAAGAAAAAGCATCTTTTGCATTTTAGCATTATCCGAGAGCAAAATAGAAGAGATATTAAGGTCCTTAAGGTACCTAATTTGAATCTTTCACTTACTTCTTCAATCAAAACTTCGTCAAATTGTATACCTTTTATATTTTGTTTTCAGAATCATGTAGTAAAATAGGTTAGTTATTAATCATATTTCCATTTTCCATCTAAGGTATCGTGCAATAGTCCGTCCTACAGAAGCTCGTTTCACAACCCGACAAACTGGTTTCATCATTGCAGCAATCTGGTTGGTGTCGTTATTGCTTGTGCTGCCATATGTCTTGACTTTGAAAATAGTCAACAACACCTGCGACGAAGTATGGCCCAGTGACACGGCACGACAAGTCTACACGGTGGGGCTGTTTGTATTCCAGTATACTTTACCCCTTACAATCATTGCGTTTGCATATGTGAAAATAGTTCTCAAGCTTCGAGAACAATCGGAGCGCATGGCGACTTACCATGAAATTTCGAAAAGGCCAGCATCGCCATCATTGCCAGAGGACAACTGGAGTGCCGGCGATAACCTCGCCCCAAACGCTTGTGATACAATCTCGTTGGCTTCCCCTGTTCCAGAGAGGAAGAAACTTATGAATGGAAATCTCAGTAAAACACATCGTCTTGGTCATAAGAAATTAGAAATCCAGATGCACGATGTTGCCGCCAAACTTCCAACAAGGAAGAAACAGCAGACTCCAACAACATCCCGCACTTGCAGAATTAAGGAAGCCAAACGACTCGAGCACAACACAAAAATAGTTAAGATGCTTGTTTCAGTGGTCCTCTCCTACGCCATTTGTCTTTTGCCAAATCAAGTTGCTTGGTTATGGCTTGAGTTTGGATCTGGCGAAAGCTGGCCTCATTTTAACGAGTTTCTTATATTTGGATTCCTTATGGTATACATCAACAGTTCTGTTAATCCTTTACTCTACGCTGGTATGAACGAAGAATTTAGAAAGGGATTTATAAGAATCATAAAATTCCAATGGAGAGTGCAGCCTCAAACACTGTAGCACAGAGGTTTCATTTAGCGTTACATAAGTGAGTGTGAAAGGGGTTACCTCTCGGTGTAGGTATCTTTAAGACTTCGGCTAAATTTCTCATGAAAAATCTGCGTGAATCTCCTCCAACGTCAACACCCTCCCTCCTGTTTATAAAAATAACTTTATCTCATTTCGATGATGTTTCTTATCTTGCCGAATTAATATTTGTAAGTTTCCTACATGCTTAAGGTAATCAACCAGGTAATCAGCTGCACACAGTGCGGCAACGCAACAATATCTTCCGCTGCTCACTTTTACCATAATGTATCATTTGAACTTTGTAAGTGACGATATTTTCATTAGGTGTACGAAGGCTGACGGTAAGTCGGTAAAAAACTGAGGTTTTTTAACCTACCGTGGGAGATAACTTCCTTACTATTTGATTTTTTTATACAAATGAATGGCAGATACACTTTATCCGAGGGGAAAGATAATCAAAAATATTTCTGATATAGGGAAAGACAAAGTTGTTAAAATGAAATGCAAGAAAAGATTCTTAGAATGGAGAAAATGAATACCCTGGTAACAATAAATGAAACTTGGATGCAGCTCGGTCTATGGAAAAGGTGAAATGAAAAATTAAGAAAAAAAAGAAAACACTAAGAGTTCTAAGTGGTCAGTGTAACAAAAACTTCTCTAATAAGGAAAAGTAACAGGGGTATTTTTCCGGCCCCAACGACTACAAAGAAAAGTTATGTCTGCGTGGTGCTATATATTCAAGACTGAAAAATTATTTGATCTGCACTATGTTTTGAAAGCAATAGCTTGGGCAGGATATACACATTTTAATAAAAGTAGGATTTTTCCATAGTTTTCATAGGGTTTGCTTAGGATTTTAATAAAGTAAGGTTCGTATTGATACTGCACGAGAAATAGCACAAAATGGCTGAAATTATTAACTAAAGTAGCCGCGTAGAGATATGAACTTAGTTATTACTATCACGAGAAGATAAATTCGTATCCACAGGAGGACATCCATATGTTCTGTTTATCATACAGATAGAAATGAAATACCTAAATCAAAGGAGATTTTAAAACGTATGAATATCACCAAATTTAATGGTAATTTACATACTTGTAAACTCACCTCTCAGAAATGTGAAGAAAAAGTTAAATTAAACCTAGATTGATGATAAGCCCCCTCGTGAATATAAGTATCCAACGTTAATAAAGCCGGTTGCAAGAAATACATGTGAAAGACTTTAGTGGTTGGTTCACTATGCGCGGAGAGGATATCATGACATTTTATCCATCATAATAAATGTTTTTAATTAATCACAATAACCTTATTTTATTTCATCACGACTAATGATATAGATGATATTATGAACATTTTTTATGAAGCTCTTTGACCCCTAGAAACGTTTTACTTTACGATTTATATTTAATTCTGTAAAAAAGCACAACTGAATCTCGGTTGGACAAGATTGTTCTCTTTTTTTTTCACATTCGTTCTTTTACACTTATTTGCTTGAGTATAACATCAAATGTTTTATCAATTAATTTTCAGAAATAATTATACCGTAGTGCTCTAGCTCGTGAGGGGTATGCCCCCCGCCCCAGGCCGATCATGGGTATGATCAACCTAAACACCTGAGGACTTATAACGCATTACTCACAATCGCTATTTTATAAAATTCTTAGCATCGTCTTGTCTAGTATTTCAGAATTTACATGATGTCTTAGGAAAGAAAACGGTTATTTCTAATCGCATTTTGAATCCCGAGTTGAAACAGATAAAAGAGATTTCGCATTTAAGAGACCGGAAAATATTTTCTAAAAATTCCGCCACTTTGGATCTGGTACAGCCCCCCAATGGTGTATTAAACAAGCACTGTCCATGATCCACATCTCTAATTGACACTCCAGACTATACTCTGAACCAAAAATATCTTCATAATTCTGTGACATAGCCCATCTCTTCAAGCGATTGTGACAGGCCATCAGTTGACCTTAAAATAATGGCATTTCTACCTTACGCTAAAAGGCGTAATAGTAGAACTGAACAGCACAGATTACTTATAAACTTTTTACGCTCTTATAGTTGAAAGAAAATGGTGTTTATGTGCTTTGAATTTTTTTCTTACATCGGAATTTTTTCCTGAGCTTTACCGTCGATTTTTCTGTGCTGGAAATAACAGAAATTTATCATACTTGTGACGTAAGGGGAGGCTTCCATTTGCAGCGCAGAATCCTGCAGAAACCTTTCCTGAAGTCTTCATTCATGCCAGCATACAACAATGGATTCACACAGCTGTTGATATATACCATAATACTGCCGAAAGTCAGAAGCTTGCTGAAGTGTGGCCAGTTCTGTAAGTTACCAAACTCATAGCAAAGCCAAACGACTTGGTTAGGCAAGAGACATATGGCATACAGTAGGACAACCATCACCAGCATCTTCATGATCTTCGTGTTGCGTTCCAGCCTCTTCACTTCTTTTTTGTCGCTTGGCGTCTTGTCAAACTTTAGCGGAACTAGTTCTCGTTTCGCAGGATCACTGAACGTTTTTTGGAATTCAGAAGCACGTGCTACACTTGGGGACGATACGGAATAACCTTCACTAATCGCGTTGTGCTGACAATTGTTCTGCACTGAACTGTAACCTACCACGAGGACGCCACTGGCGTAACGATTCCTTGCAATGCGAGCAGCTTGGTGACGCAATTTCCTCCCCACCATCGTATAGGCAAAAGTTATTATAACAAGCGGCAGGGCATATTGGAAAATAAACAAACCTACTGTGTATGCCTTTACAGCCGCTGGATGAGGCCAATCCTCTGCACAATAGCCATCTTGAATTTTAAGAACCAGCGCGTATGGCATCACGAGTATGAATGATACAGACCACGTGACTACAATGATGATAGATGTTTGGAGTGATGTGAAACGCGGCTTCCAAGGATGAACGACGGCTCGGTATCTGTCAAGAGAAAAAAAAGAAGGTGCACTGAGAATTATGTTTTTTAGTCCACAAATTCAACATGATCAACACTATCTCACTATTTCAACTTCTCACGTCTGTTCGAAACAAAACAGATCCCCAATTTCGCTTCCTAGTCACTTTTAAATCAAGAAACAACTAAACACCTTACTTTCAGCCAACTCTAAACAGTCCAAAGATCTTGAATAAATCAAATCTTGGTCATTGGTATTTTGCCAGTATCATCATCCATGGTTTTAAATTTGCCATATTTTTTGAGAAGTCTGTTGCTAACCAAAAGTCGCTTGTATGTCACCTTACGAAACCCCCGAGAGAAGCGGATCAGTTTTTCAGCTTACCTTAATTATTTCCCTAAAGCAAAGCTCGATTAAAAAACAAAATATGAACGATAAATAAGAAAGGGAAAAAGGGGCCATTATGCAATCATCTTGACCTAATGTTTCTTTAATGACGCAAATAAAGCCGTTTCCAAAGGATCCTAATGGCCAGAGTGAAGATGTTATCTCCAGTGCGACATCAAATGGTATGCACAGAAGTGACATAGTCAGACAAAGTATATTCCGGAAGTTTCGAATTATGTGGGCCGGAGCTGGCAGTTCATGATTCACTTTAGGCTTGCCCTCTCGTGGAGCTGCATATTTTCTAATCAAGAAAAATCACACGTATAACTGAGTCTGACGACGTGATAAATCCATCCAGGCGCTGGGAGAAAACAAGTGAAGCATTTAAAATCACGAGTGGCTGGGCGAATAATTTACAAGCTTTTCAGGATAGCGGAAAATAATACTTCCAAAACATGATAAGACATATGTTTGGAAAACCAGTAAGATGATGTGTACTATGTACCATTTAATTTAATACATACCGGTCTAAACTTATGGCGGCCAGTGTTGCGGCAGAGCAGTTGGTGACCAAAGTCATGGCGGGCCACAGGATGTTACACATGGTGGATCCCAAAGGCCAGAGTGGAGATGTTATCTTCAGTGCGACGTCAAATGGTATGCACAGAAGTGACATGGTCAAATCAGATACAGCCAAGTTTACCAAGAGGTAGTTTCTTGTAGTGCGCATGCGTGGCGTTTTTAATATTACCAGGCAGACAAGAATATTTCCTGCCACACTGATAAGAAAAATGGCGGTGAAAATTGTATACTCAGCGATCTGAAGGCAAGAAGATTGTGATTCTGTACTATTTGATACTGACTTTTTAATGTCAGTAATGTTGGACGTCATGGTTTACACACGTGTCGCACTTTGAAATTCCAACAGCTTCTTCAGCCTACTCTCTGGCCTCTACTGGGTCCTTTCTTTTCTTTGTAATTCATGTAATGAATATCCTGTCAGTGGATAAACCATAAGCGAGAAGACAGTGAGTAATATTTCAAAATGAGCTTATATAAACTGTTTACATCTGCTCGCATCTCAAACGAATCAAGTTCAAATGTAAAAAAAAAAAGGAAAAAAAAAAAAACACAGAGTAGACTTTCGACCTTAGGGGCGTTTGCAGCTTACTATCTTCTTTTGAACTAAAATGTCCAAATCTTGGTAAACTCTAAATGTGAATTTGCCTTGCTTTCAAGAAATAAAACGTAACCTTTAAAGAATCAGTCTTAAAAGCCTTGAAATAAATATGTTCTCTCGGGTAATCAAAAGAACACCTTAAAAGGATTTCCCTCCAACGCACGCAAAGCTCGAGGGCGACCAATTATCAGTTATTTGGATGTTTTTTTTCCTTGGTTCAACTATGGTTGTAACCTTTCGGAAAACAAATGATTTCCGCAGGAAACTGGAAAAGCACTCTCAGACATGCAATAAAAGAGAAATCACAGCCATTTACCATTTATTTTGAGTGCAAGATCATAAATAATGGAGGTACGTGCATTGACGGTAATACCACCTTTTCACTAATTATACTGTTTTTTCCCTTATTTTATATTTTGAATATAATTTCCTTTTGCGGTAATCAGATTCTTCTCTGAGCTTCAATTTTTTACTTGTTAGAGAAATCTAAAAGCCCTTCTTGTTTTGTCTGGTGTGGGCTTAATTCGTGGTTTCTTTTTAAATAGAAAATCTGTTCGATGAAATACGTGACTAATTCGCATGGCTTGTCTCTTTACCTTAGGGCGTCATTCAGTTATACGCATTGTTGACTGAAAACCTTCGCTGAAGACCGATTAAGGTTCGAAGAAAAACGCTTTGAGATAAATCAAGTCCACCTTAAATCAGAAGGACCTATGCCATTGAATGTTTCATTTGGCTTTTGGTGAGCTGCTTGATTGACAAACTCAAATACTACAGCCTGCAAGTGCGTTTACTTCCAGTTCAATAACAAACTAAAAGTCGTTAATCTTATTAATATTCTAAGTGAGTCCTTTCCACTGCAGTAGCGACAATCATTAAAGGTAAAACGACAGCAGTGGCGGAAAAATCCCAATGTTAATCACGATGTCAAATCCAAAAAGCTCTTAAAGTGAAGTTAATGCTGAGCTAATATTACGGACTTGAAAAATACGAAAAAGGGAAGGAGAGGTCACGTACGCACGAAATAGTGCATTATAAGCTGTTGATAGACTCCTTCCAGCCTACCAGATTCTAGAATTTTGGTTTGCACATGAAGTATGAAGATAATTTTTTTCCAACTAAAGGATGATTAAAAAAATAAAGTGTGCAAATCAAAAGTATTGTCGTGTTTCATAAGCTCTACCTATGGCACAAGACCAAGGATAGCCAGTACGTAGAACAAGTTTAATGTTACTAAGATACTGAGAAACAATAATTGCGGGTAGCATTTGTGAGGAAGAGAATAACGCACCTGATTTTGTTCATATTTTAGCTACTTTATTACATTCCTACCGTATAAATGGTATCGAAACAGATTCTAGAGGTTAAAAATTCGCATGCATCGGTGTTCAGTTCATGCGGAATGACCGTGTGGTTTTTTTCTTTCTCGACACTGACAGGCAAAATATTGTCCCCCCAATAAGTTTTCGAACAAAGAGACAGTTCTGAAATTTTCACTACTTTGCTAAAACTACAAGAACAAAATTTGCTAACGTACTGGTTCCTAATTATCTGTATTTCGAAAAGCTAGGAAGGCGCTATGCTAGATCAAGTAGTGCTGTGTGATTCTATGAATTACCCTTAGTCCTCGTCAATGACTACGCGATTTTCAAGACTAACTTCAACCTTCACAATCTTTGGCGTTTACATACTAACAAGAGATCATGAAATTTCTCCGTATTAATAATAATAATTATATAATAATAATAAACAGTTTAACGTGGAGAAACACTTAGCTAGAAGCTAGTTTACAGGTTTTCCACGAAACAACTTAAACAAATAATTCAAATTGAAAATAACGTTGTTAAGAATCCCAACTGGCCGAAGGCAAACCAGTTGGCTATATTACAAGCATGGCCGAGGATTTGAAACTCGGGGCTACCGTGAAACAAATCCAAGTATTAATCCACAAAGTTCTGCATGTTCTTTGAAATAAATCAACAAAACTCTCTGTAAAAAATATTTTTCTTCTCATTATTAGTCCTGACATTCATGTCCACTAGTGAGTGTTTATATTGAACACCAGCGCAGAGTTATTTTTTAGAGTTGGAATTCTGATGACACTTTCCTCTGAAAGTGACAGAAAAAATTTTTTCGAAACTCCGCATAAATTTGCGACATCATTTTCTTCATACAGACAGGTGCACTCATTGGAAGTGTTGACTACACAGATAAAAGGACCCGCGTTCTTTTTCTTTTACACATTGGCTTTAAAATAGTTTTTAATATAATATGTAAATTTTAGAGCTTGTAAAATTGAATTACATATAGGTTTAATCGCCAAATTTTATACTTTGCTCTGTTTCTTCTAACACTTGAAATATGAGTCTTTAGATTTTGCATTTGGCCATGACAATCGGTGAAAATTTAATTGAAAAAATAAAACTAGTAAATGTGTGAAACTTTAGGAAGATTTTATGTCCGACAAGTATCATATTTCGTTTTGTTATTGCTCTTCGAATTTAATTCCTTAGAATAACAATCGTTTTCAATACCAAATTTTGATTATCTACAGTCTAAACCATGTTTCAATTTGATGCAAGAAATCAAAATTCTATGAATAATTCTACGAAATCAAAATAATCTTAAGATGAGATCCCACTAATAAAAAAAATATACTTTTTAATCTTACCTTTGGTGCATCGTTAACGAACTCAAAACTTCAGTCTAGATCGAAGAAGGGATCTTTGCTTTTAAAATGTATGTCCCATTTCTAGCATTTGCAAGCGAAAAACAATTGTATAAAATTGACTTAAGGTTTCTTTTGTTTTATGTTTCATAAAGCCTCTCTGCTCTATGAGGAAAACGTCACAGATGAATGACAGTCTACGTAAATGACGGTGCAATTCATCTTTTTGCTAGACAATGTTTTTGCATCAAAGATGACTAAGCAAAAATAAAGAGGAAAAAAAGAAAGTATTAAAATTGAAGAAATGATAAAATAATAGTTCATTTAGATACATAGGTGATGACATCATAGTATTTTCAGAAAATAGATATTTCATTTCGGATTGCGGGAAATGTACTGATTGATCAACAGTCTCTTTTGCAAAAAACCCAGATTAATTCGATGTCTAGAACGAAAAGGTAGTGAACAGTCGTCAATATCCCTCAGCCGTCAATATCCCTCCATGTGAAATTATCAGCCATTCAACTAAAAGGCTTCTGTTTTCTCGCTATTGGCATTTACATCAAACAAAAAATCTACGATTTTTTTCCTACTAAAGAAGTATCATTTTATTGTCAACGGCCCAATCAGGAGGCCGCTTTCAATTATGCACTAGATTAATTAGGTCTGACATCCTGTCCACTCGCGTCAAAATCTGCTAGAGTGTTTTGTGTTTATCCTTTAAGCGTTACGTTTTTATTGGTATCGCAGTGTCAGATTTCGGCTACTGAAAATTTAGGCAGTCACACTAGTAAAGACTTCCCCCTCATGATGTCATTTAGGGAATTCTTTGTGCAAAAATGGACTTCTAGAAACGTGTGAAAAACTATCATAAAGCAAACCAATCCAATGGTTAAAAGATTTCCTAAACACTTCGTCCACTGAGGACTGAAGCTCTTCAATCCGTAAAAGTTTTACTAATGCAATCGTCATCCGTTTCAATTCCCAAAGTTAGTTTGTAGTTGGTAATCTTTTCAACTCGAGTAGCGAGTCAATCTATCGAATTGGGTATCTCACGACCCATTCATTCAATGATATTCTGTAACCGCTTCAACTTAAATTGCACGTCTGCAGGCACTTAGATAAAATATACTTGAGAACTAGCTCTAAACTGTAAGAAAATGACAGGGACTTAGTCTATGCTGATCCTCCTGATCGGAGTTTCTCTCAACTACAGACTGCAAAACTAATTAAAAAGGGAATTTCGCAAAGCTTCCTTTTAAGGGCTTTACATCCTAATGTATCGTAAGTACACCGAGTATATTTCTTTGATTTTTCTTTTTTCAGTAGAATTAATTTTTCCTATTTAAGTATACAACACATAATCGTATTTCAAGCGTACTCTACGACACCAAATATATGAGCAAGAATGGCGATATGCCGAATCAAGTGGGATTTTTTTCAAACAGCACTTACCCCTTTATGTCTCCTGCCTTAAACGAAGTGAAGCAAAAGTGCAGGGAGTACACCCAAGGGAGATATGGGACGCTTTTGTGAAAGGAACTTTCAAAACAACAGTTCTACACTGACTAAGAAATAGTGTTTAAGGGTGCGAATATTCAATCAAAGAAATTGGAGGCACGACTGGTTGGCGCCAGTGGACTCCAAACTAGATTATAACGTGTCGATGCAAAACAGAACGTTGCTATAATTATAACGACGTTGGATCCTACTTTTAACTCGTAAATATGACACTTAGGTTTTGGGGGAAGTTTCCAAAGTCAATTACGACGCAAACTGGTTAGCAACCGACAAGACATGAAAAATAAAAAAACAAAAACTACGCAGCCGTCAGAAACTAAGGAACTTTAGAATGAAAGACCTCGCGAAAATATCATCGCATGAGACGTCTGAATTTTTATATAGACTAGACGATTGATTGTATATGTTTTAGAAGAAAAACTTGTCTTAGTATCAAAGAGCTTAACGCTCAAGGAGAAAATGAACATATCTTAAAAGTTAGCTTAAATGTATTTGGACCACTTTCCTCTCTGCTTCGTTTAAAAGTAGCAAGGGGTTTTCAAAAGGTAGAATCATCTTTTCCTTAATGAAAATTCTAGATCAGACAAGCGTTGGCAACTGCTTTATAGCGTATCATTAAAGAATTTGAAGGAGCTGCAGTTTTTGATTAAACAGTGATTTTAACGGTTTACGCTCAAAGTTACAGCATAGTAATCAATCCGAGAGAAATGTTTAGTTTAGTTTTAATAAGATTAGAATTTTTGTTCTCACGACTGTATTAAAAGAACAGAATGGCATTCGGCAGTGCTTAATGCAATATGAATCGAACATTACTGGTCTCCAGGATTGCAGTAACACGTGCGACCTTTCATAAAATGTGCAATGAAGCAA